GTTGTATTCTACATAATATTTGTACTGAGTGCGATGATCTTTGGGAAATCGTCACAGATCCGCACATAATGAGCAACGAAGATGACGAAAATGCTGATGCGCTCACTGACACACGTATGCTTCGTCACGCAGAGAACAAAAGAAATGAGATAGCCAGACAATTATTTAATTAATTATATATAAACCCAGCAACTACCCCTCTTTATTAAACGCCGAAGCAAGTGTTTCCAATAATGTTAGTAACCTGTCACGATAGACCCGATTCTCTTCACGATTCTCTTCGTGTAACTCTCTAATTAATTCGATGCCATCATTTCTCGTCTCTCTTCGTCGCACTCGCCTCTCAATCATATCTCTCCTATTCTCAGAATCATACACTTCATTAAATACTGGATCATCGATTACTACGTCACGAATTTCTTCTTCATACTCAAATTCCATACGCTCCGCCCCCGTCTTACGATTATTATCCTGTACTCTCTTATAATCCTCTAATAGTTTATCCCACCTATTAATCGATTTTCGTTAGCACAGTGGGTATACTTACTGTATTTAGTAGCCAACTCAAATCATTACCTCTTGCGAATAGCCTTATCACTTCTCCACGTATCCGGACAAATAGTGCTAAACTCATCACATATGGATTGCCAAACCTTTCCCTTCTGCACAGGTGACTTTGCTGTATTAAGGCTTTTATAATAAGACTTCATTATCCCAATTAGAGTTAATGTTTCTTCGCGCTGCCAGTTTTTTGATCGTTTAAATTCTGGTAGAGTGTTATTATGGTTCCCACCAGTATCGATAGTACTGTCGACTATAATAAGTCTATATTAATACCAATACTGACATCGCTTAGAATAATAGTAGTAAATTGCACATACCATCAACGTCGTTTGCATTATCTCCGTCGGCTATAATAGTCTATATTAATATCAATACATACATAAGCTAAAATAATAGTAGTAAATTAATCATACCATTAATATCGTTTGCATTTTCACTGTCCATAATCTGGGAGCCAAAATTATTTATTTCTGAATTTGGAAGATCCGTTTGGGAAGTAACGCCATGTCTGTTTGAAGAATTGGACTGTGTGACTCTACGCTTAGTTTTATTAGATGGATCATGCATTATAAATTCGAATGGTTGATGCCGCTTCATGTTTAAGGAAGCGAATGTAGAGGGAAGAAAGGAAAAGCAGAGGTGAAAGAGGACAGCGGTTTATTTTTTTTAATGGTATGAGTAAGAAGAGCATGAGTATGTTAGCAGGCACTTTCATGTGAAACATCATATGCGTTAAGCTCAAGATGGCTAAACTCGAAAC